AGGAGGGGCAGGACGAAGCCTCGTGCACCTTAAAACTAGGTGCTCAAGTGTCTCACTCTCATCACGGCATGCAGCGCATAATGTGTCTATCTCCTGAAATTTAGCCCTATACGTCTTCGTCCTCAAAACTCCCGTTCTCGCCTCGAAAAGTAAAGAACTTCCCAGCGAGTTGTCAAACACATTTTCCTTTCGTATGTCCTTTTTTTGTGACCTGTAAACCATTAGAGTCGATTTTTCCTGCATTCTTCCCTCCCACATTTTCCTCTCTGCCTCTTTCACTCCCTTTTTCACTGAAGTAGTCTGCTCAGCCCCATCATTAGTTAGTAGGTATTTAAATGTAAGCTTTCGGGTTCGGTTTGTCCATTTTGTGTTTATGCTTTTCATGTATAAATACTTGTACACCTTACGTGCCCATCTCGTATCATCCATTTCAGTCAACCTTTGTTCAAATTTCAACTTACTGATTGCTTCCCTGCTCTCAAAAGACGACCAGCCCATGTCCCCCTGCACTCCCTCATTTGGTGTGTTTCCATGTGCTCCCAGTGCCAAAAAAAACGTCGAGCGGAGAAAGCAAAGTTGCCAGACAAGCAGCAACGTCCAAGATGGCGGAATTTACCATTTATCGCGTTAAAAAAATACTTAACCTATCGCAACAAAACTGGTGGCTATGGAAAAGTAATCATTTATACCTTGTGTAAATTATTCAAGCACCTTAATGGGCTTTTATGACCCGAGTTAGGAAAGAAAACGACCCTTTGCCCCATAGACTCCCAGCAAAATTTAGCAATTAAATGGCGTCCATGTCCCGTGATCGCCGATCTAGCAGTTGCACCCACCCTCACTTGAGCCTCCCTAGCGGTGAAGCCCGATGCGCGTGCGCTGGTGTGAGGGGGTAAAGGATGACGCGAGCAACGCAAGTGCCACGGTACGCTGTAGCAGCAGCATGGAGGCATGTGGAAGACACAGTGTTCAGTGACACTAGCAGACATGATAATCAAGTGACCTCATGAGGATAAAAAGTCCCTGGTTCTGTCTTATCGCCACAAAGTTCGGCAAGGTCCCGTTGGGCACGCACATAGCTTTCCTTACTATGACAAACTTGGGTGAACTTTTGTGTCATCGCCAGTCTGTTTATAAAGGTACTTTTCATGCTGCCCCGATCGACGATAAGCCGTAAGATAAGATCGCAACCAAACTGAAAGTTACCGACTATTGTTGTATGGGCTATACGCACGTGCAAGTACAAGTTAGCCTTTTCTGCTCTCTTTTGATTCATAGAGAAAACGACATCAGATCCTTATGCATCTACCCTGGCCTTTCCGAGGGAGGGGAGGTCCACTGTTGGGCCAGATTCATTGCGCGTGAATCCTTTTAGAAAGCTTCCTTCATTTAAAAGTGTGAATTTAACCAAACAACGGACTATAGTGCTGGCAGAGTGACGCTGTGCTTCTTGTTTTTGGTCGTTGATGACGGCGACAACTGGTCCAGGTACAGAAAACAATACGCGTGAAAGTCGTCAAGTTGGATAGGGCTCATTCAGGCAGAACATCTGTAGTCCAAGCTGTGGTTCAGGGGGGTCATCATGACATACCTTTGAGAATGCTTCTTCGTCTAGCAGTTACAGCAACAACATATATGCATTTCTTCCTGACTGCTTTAACAATTCTGCTTTGTAACGCTTCATCAAGGGGAATTCTAAAGAATCAATAGCAAAAGAAAGTGAAGAGTGTTTCCTTTGTAGAATCGAGGGCATTATGACCCCTGCATTAGCCGCAAGTTGATATAATGGATATTCGCCACCTGAAGCAAAACTACTCGCAAACAAGACGACAGTCCTTCCCAAACACATGCACCATTTGGAACCCCCACCAAAATTACCTTCTACAGAGACTGGAAGCTGTCCAAAAGAAAGCGCCAAGATCTATATGCAACAGCTTCCCACCGGAAGCTAAAGTCTCGGCCTTCAAAACTAGTAATAATATCTCTTCTCTTGAACAAAGACGTAAAATAGCTCGGTTGTGTTTTTTTCATACAATCTATTACGGCGTTTTGAATTTTAAATCAGTTTACTGCCGCCCTGCCGGTTTAACATAACCAATATTAAATCATTCTTGCAAAACAACCATTATTGGGTCGCACCTACACTTTCCTTTTCTCTCCCTTAGCACCTAGTATCAGAGACTGGATGCTTTACCTGATATTACAGTTTCAAAACAATGGCCAAAAATAACAGATTCAAGTTTGCCTGGTACAGGAATGGAAAAACGTTTGTTCGGAAAGAGGAGAGAACGAGCGCTATTCTTATCTCTACTGACAATGACTTGTGTGGTCTTTCTTAGAATGATCCTGGTCATTGTCGTGATTTGTCCGTTTTAATTTAATTTTTTCTGCTCAGTGAAGACGCTGTACTATCACAAAATTTGAAAAGTTATCTTGGTGAAGATTATATCTCGTGCATCACATGTTTTCATTTAAATGTTCAGTCAGCGAGAAACAAAGCTCAAGTTGCTTTTTGATCAATTTGGTTTTTCTTTTGAAACAATAATGCTTACAGAAACATGGTATACGAATGCCAGTGATGTATTAAGATTGCCAATGTACCGCTCGTTCTATATTAATAGTACTGTGAAACGCGGTGGCGGTGCAACCATTTTTAGGGAAGATTCTCTTTGCGAGTTGGTAAGCGATTTCAGTTGTTTACATAGGATTACGAAATATTGTGTTTGCGAAGCAAGCAGAATGTTTTTGCTGTAATATATCGACCCCCAAATGGTAACATTGAAGCCCTTTTTAAAAATTTTCGAATCTTTTTTGGTATTCGTTAACCAGCAAAAGTATAATATTGTTTGCGGTGGTGACTTCAATAATGATATGTGTACGGATACAACTATTACAAGAACATTAGACTTGATAATTCGCATGAATAGCTGCGAAAATGTTATAACCAGATCCACAAGAATTATTTGCCGCTCTGAAACTATAATAAACCTGTTTATCACAAACTTCTCTAACGATTGCTTAAAGGCTGGTGTCATCAGGTTGTGATCTGAGCGACCACCTTCCGATATTTATTTCGGCTAAAAGTATTGAAATCAAGATTTAAAAAAAAAAAAACAAAAAAAAAAAAAACAAAAAAACACGAACACTATTTTAGAAAATAACTATAGATAAACTTGATAGTTCTAGAATTGCTGTTACAAATACAAACTGGACCAGTGTATTTAATGAAGATACAACCGATGGGGCTTACAACGCTTTCATAGATTTATTTCTGGATCTATACAAAATATACTTCCCCTTCAAATCAACTAAAATAACCAAACGCGTAAGAAAACCTTGGATAACGCCAGATTTATTATCCAAGATTCACACCAAAATTTTTTTGTACATCCGCGTTGCTAAATCGAGAGACGAGAAAGACCTTAAAATCCTTTAAAATGTACCGCAACGTCTCAACAAAAGAATTAAAGCGTGCTAAAGAACGCTACCACTTTAAGGCATGCTCAAGGCAGCAGAGGGACGTACGGACGTCACGTGGAAGGAGTTAAACTCTCTTATAAATCGAAACCGTTCATCTCTCTCAATTAATAAAATAGTGCGTAATGGTGTTGAACTAACCGGATGTTCTTTGGCGAACGCTTTGAACGAGCATTTTGTGAATATTGGAAGCGGGATTGATACTGCAAAGTCTTGTCTTTTTGATGATGAAAGAAGCAGCAGCTCGATTTTTTTAGAACCGGTTGTAAAACTTGAGGTCATTAATGTGATCTTGCAACTTAAGAATACCGGAGCTTGTGACGTGGATGGTTTACAAATAAGGCCTGTTAAGTATGTTGTTCATTTATTAGCAGCAGTGCTAACGCATATATTTAATCTTTCTTTGGTTACTGGCGTTTTTCCTAAACGAATGCAAACGGCCAGTGTCAGTACTACACAAAAAGGAGAGTGTAAAGGATATGGGTAATTACAGACCAATTTCTATATTGCCAGTTTTTTCTAAAGAAGAAGCTTCTTCAAGTTCGCCCCTCCCCCCTCCCAACTCGCCTCTACGCAATCGCGCCAATGCATACACAGGCACACGTGCCTTATTCCCGTGGTTTGGCATATAGTTACTAGATACTTACGTCCTGCCCTCGAAACATGCAGCGAAGGTCAGGACCCGCTCGTTGGGTTGTCCGGAAGTGGTTGCAGGCTCTGGGCAATAAAGTACCAAACTGCTCTTTTGTGTCAGAGCACGGCATCGTATGCCTCTCCTCTCCTGGGTCGAAAAAAGGTGCACTCGGAATGCCCTTCCACCCCCCCCCCCCCCCCCCCCCCCCCCCAAACTCCGTATTTTTATTTTCCCTTAAAGCGGACTGCAGCGTACGCTACGAGCAGTCGGAGTCAATCCAGGGCTGAAAACGTATACCGTGCGCCATTTGGTCCTAGTGCGGACGGGACCATATGCTGTAAAGCCCAAAAATGCTAAAAACAAAACAAAAAGGGGTTTGGATGATTTGAAGTGGTTTTGAGACGGTTCAAACGAGCACGTCGAAACGAGAAGTATAGCTAAAAATCACACAAATCTTTCTATTGTGACGTCACGACTATATTTAGGCAATAGAAACCTGGATCCAGCTTGGTCCAGCTGAGGCAGTCCAGCTGGAATCCAGCTGGACTGCCTCATTTCCAGTTCCATAATCTACCTGGAAGTGGACTTATTTTCGCTGGGACGTCATCCAAACATTTGAGGGGAAGGGGAGAGGGGGGAGAAATAAAAAATCGGCTCGTACACCCTTACAGTAGCATCACGCTTGCCATTAATTAACTGCTAACCTTGACACAATCTCTTCCACTAAAGTTAACCTCACATATGCCGTGGAAGGCAGGGACCCACAACTTGAAACAACGCGACTGTTGCATCGAGCAGAAGTTTAGAAAACTTGCAGTTGTTAGTACACAAAGCCGATTTTCAGCTATTTATTTTAAAGTGGTTTAGATACGTTCGGCAAAATCCGAATTTATTCATTTTGTTCCCCCATACGATCGCCCCCGTCCGGCAGCAAACACTGCTGTTCCTTGTCTCGCCGCTGCGGCTGTGTGGCGCCACCGATTAGCTCCCCAGCGTGGCCAACTACGACGTAAGCGCAGTAGCTGGTGAAGAGTGCGACGAGCGCGGCGAGCAGAGTGAGGATGACGTAGACGTTAACCTCCGAGACGAAGCCCGACGCCTGCACGATGTGCATGTTGTGGCTGGAGGGCTGCTTGCGGGCGGCCATGAGCTCGACCCTGTTGAGGAACTCCGCCACGCGCAGGGCGTTGTGGTGCGTAATGGCGGCGCGCATGACGGGGTTTCCGGCGGCCATCTTGAACGTGAAGAGCTGCATCTGGGCGTAGTTGCGGACGAGGCGCCAGGGCAGGGAGTAGTCGTCCAGGGCGTAGGTAACTCCCTGGTTGCACAAAGGAAGACAAAAAGAAAGCATACGAGAGTTTGTACGTCTGCGGCAAGCTGTGAACGAGCAGCACGAGTCTTCTCGTCAGTCTGGTTAGATTGGCATTAGGTTTCCAAACAACAATGGTATCGCTGAAAGAAAAGAGGATAATATTTGTAACAACGTAGACTGGTCTTTAAACGAAATTGACGAGTTTGGTCCGACACCACGGAGTTGTTGGGGATTATACATCAATGTACCACAAAGGAGGCGCAGAGCATTCACCTACTGCGCAAAAATGAAACGCGTTACGCTAAGAAGGTCAGGCATTAAGGTTTTTACACCCGTAAGAGTGAAACTAGTTTGCCTATGGCTATCATCCTAGAGCTGTTCCAACAACACCCTTAGGGTGATGGCGATCATAGCAACGTCCTATAGATATATTTTTAAAATTTTTTATTTATACATACCCTCAGGGCCGTTATGGATTGAAAAAAAAAAGTTATACCCCACATCAAGAAAAACAAAACAAAAATCTCTCAAGATAAAAAGATGGTTTTAATTAATACACAGTATGAAATGGTTAGTCAATTATATTACGAACGGCGGTTCGTAGTAAATCAAAATCGCGAACTGTTGCAACTTGAGAGGGAAGGTGGTTCCAGTCATGAGAGGTGCGTGGGATGAAAGAATAAAGAAAAGAGAGGGATTAGTGTTGCATGATGTAACGCCTACCTTATGATGATGATTCAATCGCGACAATCTGTATTATATATGAAGGAGAGGTGAGTAATGCACTGCGCAAAGATGCGTGATGGTAAATATTTGTGAAAAAGGCAAATGCGTGCAATTCTGGGACGTTACGTTAGAAGTGGCAGACACAGCTTAAATTTCATTGAAGGTATACTGCGGTACTTCGATAGTTAGAGTAAATGAAACGAGCTGAGTTATTTTGTATAATTTCTTACTGATTTACGAGAATTTTGATGTTAGGATCCCACACTGAACAGGCATACTCTAGTTGTGAACGAACGATAAATATGAAGAAAAAAAGTTATTTAGTGGAGGTAGGGGCTTAGTAGAATTTACGCTGTAAGTTGCCGAGCATGCGTGCGATTAGCTTTATTTTATTTTAATTTTATTTAGCCTTATTTTCAGTGACCCACCAACAGCTTAACGCCTCCTTAGTGGTGCACGTATCAATGAGCCAATGAGTAGTAAAATGTTAAACAGGATAAAAGCGGAACGTTAGTAATAAAATCAATGCGGGCCTTCCAGCTAAGATAAAATGTGATATAAACGTCTAAATACTCGTATGGTCTGGCAGATTCTAGGGGACCATCATTAAGTTGGTAAGATGGCAAGTCAGTCTAACTACCGAGAGATACGCATATAAATTTACTCTTGTTAACATCTAGGCTCATCTGCCACGTGTTACACCAAATAGAGATAGCGTTAATGTCTGACTGGAGCGCACGCAAGTCGTTGACAATGGTCATTTAACGGAAAAGAACACAATCATCAGCGAACAAATGGAAGATGTAACACTGTTTGGAGTACACTGAAATGCAAGTCACGTTAGTAAGATGTTTTTAATACCTATATTTTTTTAGTTTAAGTAGTAGGAGACGATGCTTCGCGAAATCTAAAGAAAGAAAGAAAAAAAAACTGTTTGTTAAGGATCTATTGCTAAGTATGGTATGCAACTTATGGGTGGATAAAAACAATTGCGTTTTACATGAAACTGATTTGCGAAAACCACGCTGAGCAGGATGAAAGGAGGAATTGGATTCCAAATAGTTAGCAATATGGGAGAAAAGTATGGGTTCAAGAATCTTACAGGCTACGCTAGTGATGGACATGGGCCTGTAGTTATATGGCGAATGCTTGCTCCCACTTTTATGAAATGGAGCCACCCTTCCAATCTTCCAGTCTTGAGGGAGCTCTCCGTGGTCTAATGATTGCTAAAACATTTTAGTCAGGGCAATGGAGGAGCGTATTAATATATGTTTTCTCAGGAGCAGGGGTAATACGAAAATAATCTTTGGAGAAAGGGAACAGGGGGAACAAAGGACAAACACAAATCTCCAAATACAGCTAGGTGTCCTTTGTCCCCCTTGTTCCCTTTATCCAGAGATTATTTTCGCCATTCTTGTCCAACTCGCTTGCCCCTTTGTATTCAATAGCATTATCATCATAGGGGTAATACTATGGACACCAGCGGCGCAGAAGGATTTAAGTGAGTAAATAGTTTCAGCAATACCAATTGAGTATATGAAAACAGTACACATAGTTGAGTACGTGCAGTGGAATAACTCTGGCAAGAGTGTAAAAAATACTTGAAAAAGCACTAGAGAACACATTGTTAGGCTTGAGGGAACACTCGCCATCATCTATTGGCTCGCCATAAAAAAAAATGGTTAGTATAATTCGCGCGTTGTCAATGGGGTTAACATCCTAGAAATTTCTAGGGTTGTTCAATAGCATGTTCGGTAATGTTTTGCTAAGAAAACTAGCCCTGACATTCTTGGCAGCTGAATTATACATATTGCCGCGCGCAAGGCTGAGAAAGCAACGCTCGGTCACGGACCTCCAGAAAGTTCCCGTTTATTCATGTACCGCACGTAACTTCTATCATTTATCCCTGCTTTTGTTTTCTAGAAAGTACGTGTTCATTCTCGCCCCGATCACGCGACGCTCGAACCGCTTTCGCCGAATCTTCGAGATAGCGGCGCACTCTAGATAAGAGGCCGCCCGCGACCTTGTCGAGTCAGTCTCGCCCTAGCGCTTGATTCTGCTGACACGCCGACTTCGACGCCCGCGACGCTCTGCTTTCTTCTGTCTCCTTCTTTATTTTTGGCACAAGTTCGCCACATTAAACGTTTATTTCTTCCTGTTTATTTCCTATTTTTTGGTCACCACCCGTGACATTTTGGTGGAGGTGCGGGGTAGCGCATGCCCGTGCAGCGTTCCCCTCCCAGGGCCCGCAGTGCAAGCCCCATTCCGAGCCCGGTGAGAAGACCACCCGACGCGGAACCTGAAACTCGGACCAGTCGCCGCACCCAAGGTCTACACCCGGAATACGGACTTCTGCCACCCAGGACCAAGCAGCCAACGAAGCCGACGATGGACGGCCAGCAGTCACAGACCCCGGCCGCTCCTGCCTTCATCTACCTACCAGTCGCACCCCGGACTCCGACGCCATTCCACGGGGACGCCCACGAAGACGTCGAGGACTGGCTTCAACAATACGAGCGGGTGGCCCAGCACAACCGATGGACGGAGGACCAGCGCCTGCAGAACCTTTACTTCGCGCTCGAAGGAACGGCCAGGCACTGGTTCGAAAATCGGGAGACATCATTGATCTCGTGGACCGCCTGCAAGAATGAGTTGAGGCGAACTTTCACTAACCAGTATCGACGGGAGAGGGCCGAGGACCTTCTTCGAATGAGAACCCAGGGCGCAAACGAGACCATCACCAGTTTCGTCGAGGATGTCCTGCGCCTGGTCACTCGCGCCGACCCTGAAGCCACCGACGAAAAGAAGTTGCGGATCCTGATGCGAGGCGTACGAGATGACATCTTCGGAGGCCTCGTCCGCAACCCGCCGACCACCGTCGAGACGTTTGTAACAGAGGCGACCAACATTGAACGGGCCCTGCAAGCACGAGCCGCTCACTTTCATCGAGCCCCTGCCGTCGCTGCACCCACGCCGTCAAGCTGCGCCCTCAGCCCCAATATTCCAGGGATCCGAGAAATAGTCCGGGACATCGTCCGTGAAGAACTGAAGAAGCTGATACCTGCCACCGAACGTCCAGCTTCACTCTCGATTGCCGAGATTGTTCGAGAAGAGGTCCAGCAAGCGCTCCAGCCAGATGTTCTCGCCGACGCCGCACCGGAACCACCAGCTGTGACCTATGCTACCGTTGTTCGTCGTCCGCAGCCTCCTATTGCTCGGCAGTACCCATCTGCACCCCAACGAGAAGTCTCTTCGCCGCAGTACGCGCCGCGCCAAGAGCAGCGTGGACTTCGAAAGACCGACGTGTGGCGCACGGATGACGGACGCCCGGTGTGCTTCCACTGCGGGGAGGCTGACCACGTTTACCGAAGGTGCCCCTACCGCCAGCTCGGCCTGCGAGGATTCGCTCCAAACGACCGTCGACCTCGTTTTGGAGAACGACCAAGGGACATCGAGGAATACCTCCGTCGCCCTCCGTCACCAGCGCCCACCGCACCACGAGGTTCCCGTTCTCCATCCCCCCGACGTTCCGCGTCGCCTTTCTGTCGGTCGCGCCGTGACAGCCTGTCCCCCCTATCTCGTCGGGAAAACTAAGTGCGGCAACGCCTGGAGGTGCCGTTGCCGAAGACGACCCGAGTAAAGAGCCTCCAAGAACGCCGGAGCGCTCCCACTCTCCCGACGCCACGCATCGCTACGACGCCCCTGCAACGGTGTCCAACAACCTAAACGTCGTCATCGACGGCCACGACGCATCGGCACTCGTGGACACCGGAGCAGACTACTCAGTCTTGAGTGGGAGGCTCTCCCGCCGCCTTCGAAAAGTCATGACGCCGTGGGAAGGACCCCAAATACGAACCGCCGGAGGACATCTCATCACACCAGTCGGGAGATGCACTGCTCGCGTCGAGATCCACGGTGAAACGTGCCCTGTCAAGTTCGTCGTTCTGCAAGACTGTTCGAGGGACGTTATCCTCGGAATGGACTTCCTCTGCGAGTATGGCGCCGTCATCGACCTCGGAACAAACCGGCTGACGCTACGAAAACCTGCTCCATCAGCGGAGGAACCCCAAGCGACGTCACCCACGGTCCGAGTCCTCGCAAACCACGTAAACCTACCACCGCGGTCGAGTGTTTTCGTACTTGTCGGGATCGATGGAGCTTCCTGTGGCGAAGTTCTTCTCGAGGGAAGCCTCCAATTGCTCCTGGGAAGAGGCATAGGCGTCGCAAGGGGAGTAGCTGAACTTCAGGATGGGCGGACTGTGGCCCTCGTGACGAACTTCCGAAACGAAACGCAACACCTCACGAAAGGTGCAGCCGTGGGCCACGTCGAGAAACTCCGAAACCCCGCCGAAATCACCGCGATTACTGACGAATCCTCGCCGCCCCAGCAAGACCGTACGTCGCCAGCGCAGCTCGACATTGACCCTAAGCTTCCGGACCCTAAACGGCGTCAGCTGGTTAACCTCCTCGCCGAATACCGCGACTGCTTTGCGACGTCGTCGAAGGTGCGCCAGACCGCGGTTGCCAAGCACCGCATCGTTACCGAGGACGACGCGCGCCCTGTGCATCGATCGCCGTACAGAGTCTCCGCTAAGGAAAGGGAGGTGATCCATCAGCAAGTTCAAGAGATGCTGAATGACGACATAATCCAACCTTCAAGCAGTCCATGGGCCTCTCCAGTCGTGCTGGTTAAGAAGAAGGACGGAACTCTTTGGTTCTGCGTGGACTACCGGCAGCTCAACACGGTTACGAAGAAAGACGTCTACCCACTCCCCCGCATCGACGACACTCTAGACCGGCTGCGCCACTCTCGATACTTTTCATCGATGGACCTGAAGAGCGGCTACTGGCAAATCGAGGTCGACGAACGGGACCGAGAGAAGACAGCCTTTGTCACGCCGGATGGACTGTACGAGTTCAAGGTGATGCCCTTCGGACTATGCACGGCGCCAGCAACTTTCCAGCGTGTCATGGACACCGTACTGGCAGGGCTGAAGTGGCAGAGTTGTCTCGTCTACCTTGACGACGTCGTAGTATTTTCAGCTGACTTCGACGAGCACTTGAGACGACTCCGAGCTGTTCTTCAAGCCATTCAGACCGCCGGACTCACACTCAAGCCGTCAAAGTGCCGGTTCGCCTATGACGAACTGAAGTTCCTTGGCCACGTGGTTAGTAACGAAGGCGTCCGCCCAGACCCCGAGAAGACTCGCGCCGTCGCGGCATTTCCAGCGCCGACAGATAAGAAGGCCGTGCGAAGATTCCTTGGACTTTGTGCCTATTATCGACGCTTCGTTCGGGATTACGCAAGGATTTCCGCACCACTTACGAATCTCACGAAGGACGCCGAGAAGTTCGAATGGGCCGAGGAGCAACAGCAGGCATTCGACGAACTGAAACGACGACTCCAGACTCCTCCTGTGCTTGGACATTTCGACCAGGATGCGGAAACAGAAATTCACACGGACGCAAGTAACGCGGGACTGGGCGCAGTACTAGTCCAAGTGCAAGAAGGCATCGAGCGAGTCATCGCCTACGCAAGTCGGACATTGTCCAAGGCGGAGAAAAATTACTCCACAACTGAGAAAGAATGCCTTGCGGTCGTCTGGGCAATAACGAAGTTTCGTCCGTACTTGTACGGGAGCCCGTTCCGTGTAGTCACGGACCACCACTCGCTCTGCTGGCTTGCGAAGCTGAAGGACCCGTCAGGACGCCTCGCTCGATGGAGTCTTCGACTACAAGAGTTCAACATGACAGTGGTCTATAAGTCAGGCCGCAAGCACAGCGACGCCGACTGCCTGTCCAGAGCCCCCGTCGAAACCCCTTCCGGCTGCAGCGACGACAATGACGACGAGTGCTTCCTAGGAGCAGTGAGCACCGACGATATGGCACGACGTCAACGGGACGATCCAGAGCTGCGCGCATTAATCGAGCACCTGGAAGGGGGCAGGAGTACCGTGCCACGTGTCTTCTCACGAGTACTGCCGACCTTCGCCATCCGGCAAGGTGTACTCTACAAAGAGAACTTCGGCAACAACAACACTCCGTGGTTGCTGGTAATCCCGAGTGACCTTCGAGAGGAGATCTTCCAAGCCTGCCACGACGACCCGACATCCGGACACCTTGGTTACAGCCGGACACTGGCCCGTATTCGTGTAAAGTATTACTGGCCGAAGCTCCCCAAGACCGTCCACCTATACACACGATCATGCCACGAGTGCCAGCGACGCAAGAAACCGCCGACGAGGCCGGCCGGATTTCTGCAGCCCATTTCTCCTCCAACTACACCCTTCCAGCAGATCGGAATGGATCTACTTGGTCCTTTTCCGCCTTCGACGTCGGGGAACCGCTGGATCATCGTCGCCACAGATTATCTCACGCGGTACGCCGAAACGAAAGCTCTTCCTTCAGGGACTGCTGTGGAAGTCGCCAAGTTTTTCATCGAGTCCATCGTCCTCCGGCACGGCGCACCCGAAGTTCTGATTACAGATCGCGGATCTTCGTTCATGGCCCAGCTGACGCAAGAGATCCTTCGTCTCAGTGGCACCGGCCATCGTCGAACCACTGCATACCACCCGCAGACCAACGGGCTGACCGAGCGACTCAACAAGACAATCGCCGATATGATCTCTATGTACGTCGACGTAGAGCACAAGACGTGGGACGAGGTGTTGCCCTACGTCACGTTCGCCTACAATACGGCGGTTCAGGAGACCACTGGATTCACCCCTTTCCAGCTGGTACATGGTCGGAAGGTAACGACCATGCTGGACGCAATGCTGCCCCATGAGCCATCTGACAATGAGAGCGACGACGCCCAGGCGGTTGCTCAACGCGCCGAAGAAGTCCGCCAGCTCGCCCGACTCATGATTCAAGACCAGCAACGCGTCGACGCGGGCCGCTACAACCTTCGTCGCAGGGACGTTCACTTCCAGCCCGGAGACAGGGTGTGGGTGTGGACGCCCATCCGTCGCCGCGGCCTCAGTGAGAAACTGCTGAAACGGTACTTTGGACCATACAAGGTACTTCGTCGCCTCGGCGAGCTGAACTACGAGGTGATGCCCGACGGAACAAGAACATCATCACGCCGCCCACCACGACCTGAAGTCGTCCACGTCGTGCGCCTGAAGCCGTACTACGCTCGATAGGACTGTGGATCTTATGTGTTTCAAGTGACTCTTTAGTTTGCCGTTCTTTTTATGTGCTTTGTTTTGTTTTACACTGCATCGGGGCGATGCACGTTTAAAGGGGGGAGTAATGCCGCGCGCAAGGCTGAGAAAGCAACGCTCGGTCACGGTCCTCCAGAAAGTTCCCGTTTATTCATGTACCGCACGTAACTTCTATCATTTATCCCTGCTTTTGTTTTCTAGAAAGTACGTGTTCATTCTCGCCCCGATCACGCGACGCTCGAACCGCTTTCGCCGAATCTTCGAGATAGCGGCGCACTCTAGATAAGAGGCCGCCCGCGACCTTGTCGAGTCAGTCTCGCCCTAGCGCTTGATTCTGCTGACACGCCGACTTCGACGCCCGCGACGCTCTGCTTTCTTCTGTCTCCTTCATTATTTTTGGCACAAGTTCGCCACATTAAACGTTTATTTCTTCCTGTTTATTTCCTATTTTTTGGTCACCACCCGTGACATTTGTATCACATTGCAACAGTGTGATAAAACAACCACCTATCTTAGTTGCCAGATGTCTTTTTGCAAAGTAATAGAAAGCTATTTTTGTTTTTGTTTTTCTTTCAGGTTGAAGAGTCGTTTAACCTACTTGTTATACCAAGGTGCCTGTGAATTATAAGGTATTACACGAAGGGGTACGAAACGGTTAATTAGCTCTGCGACACTATTTTTGAATAACGACCAGTTGCATTGAACTAAGCGTTCCTAAAATCCGTTGAAAAGTTCCTAGAGACGGCTGTCTAAGTTGTACTAACAGTACAGTGCGCTGCAATATGAAAGACCCACTGGGAGCGCGTGGCCAAGGCAGTGACTGGCGGGGGCGCTGCGAGCGCTCCGGGCAATTTTATTCTGCCTCGAGGGGAGGACGCTCAGTCGGAGCTTAGCACAAAATGATAAGCGCGGTGCGCTTTAGCTGAGCCCCGAGTGAGCGTCCTCCCCTCGAGGCAGAATGGAATTACCCGGAGCGCTAGCAGCGCCCCCGCCAGCCACCGCCTCGGCCACGCGCTCCCAGTGGGTCTTTCTTATTGCAGCGCACTGTGCATTCATATTCAGTTTAAAAGTAACACGCACCACATACAACTTACACATACACCAAAATAAATACATGCATTGTGAAGGACTTTGTATCTCGTACTCCTAGAACAAAAACATTTGTAGAGACAAGAATTATTCGACTTAGTGGCTAAAACAATGTCCCCTGCCTAAAGTTGATATGATTTTGTTTTCGCTTTCTCCCTACACTCCGGCACTCTTTTCACACCATTTTACACCCAAAGGAGATTTGAACCTCGCACCCTTCAGAAGGTGAAAGGGTGTACAAAGTTTATGCCAAAAATTACCATTATAAGAATGCACCAAAATTTACGACCAGTGTAATCATAGGTGCATGTCTGTGGACCAACCTATTTTATACCCTGAAAAGCTTAAAACATTTAGTATGTGTGTGGAGTAAAAACTGATACGTTACACAGAAGTACAGAAACATCATACACTATACCGCACGCAGCTTGAGACATAACCCTGGGGAGAAGCCTCAGATGGACAGCGGTCGTTTCTTCCGGCTGCTCTTCAGCCCCGAGCAAACTGTTATAAAGCCTCACATTACTTCCTACAAAAGACAGTCTGCATATACTGTCTATAAGGTGTGTTTCTTCCTTGTCATGTAGAATTAGTAATAAAAAGATGTGCCTGCAGACATGTTCGAAACATGCACATGTGTGAACCAAACGTGTTGAGACATGTTCGCAGATAATTCCGACATCATGTCTGCAAAGAAACTGCGTGTCTTTTGTCTGATGTATGAGCGGCGTGACTGCGCCTTTAACGAAACGTCTGCTGTCATCTTGATGGCGTGTGTTCTGTTTTGTTTCGCTTGTGTTACAGAAAGACATGTTTCCGGAACGGGTGAGGATAGGCAGCCGTCACCTCCAACGTGACGCCGTTCTTGGCGAGCACCGGGTACTCCTGCTGGAAGTCCGGCCCCGAGGGCGGGTCCTTGGCGAGCTTCGAGAGGGGCTTCTCGAGCAGGGAGCCCAGTTCCTCCGCGATCCTTGCATCGTCGTACCGCAGCTGACGATGACGGTCGGCCAAAGAAGGACGTTGAGGAGTGGAACCTGAAGCGACGGCGGGTGTAGCCGCCGCCGCCGCCATCACTAGCAACGATGGCAGCTGGAGCGCTCCCATCACCCGATGCAAAGGGCGAAGCCGGAAGAATCCAATCCAGTCCATGCCGACGAGTTTCGAGCCAAAGGAGATTTGAACCTCGCTGGTCGAGCCTAGAGCATGGTGTAAGATACACTCTTTAGGTAAGGACAAAGCGGGGCTGAATGCGCGGCGCGAGGAATCAGATATACCTTCGTTCGACGGGCATCAGAAAGGCTGCATCATTCCGCGGCCACCGTGCCCGCGGCTGACAGTGTCGCCGGTGGTCAAACGGCGAAGCTTTGTGAGAGTGAAAAAAAATGATCTCGTTGCCATGACACCCCGGTACAACGCGTGGTCTTTCTGCACGTGCGACAACCTCGCTGGAGCTCTGCGCGTGTCGAGCATGAGGCGGCACGAGCAATATTGGCACGAGCCGCCTTGTGCACAGCTGCCTGTCTCCTGCCTCCTGCTCACTAGTGCCACTAAATAAGCTACGCTTCAGAGTAACGACACTTGGCCATATTGTGTCGTAAAATCATGGTTGCCATTTATCTGAAGCTTTATCTGAAATCACAGGAAACGCCTTTCCGCTCTCCACAAATGTTTAAATAGTTCGTGACAGAGCAAAGCAATATTGCGTGACCTTTCCACAACCGAATCTAATGCTGAGGAAGTCGCACTTTTGAATCATGACGATCGGCAGTTGCGTCTGCTCTGCATACGAGCCAAAATGGCGGCGCCCACAACAATGCCGGGGAACGGAGTGCCGATGCTCTAAGCGCAGCTCATTTAGTGGCTCTACTGCTCACGGGTCGCCGAGTCATCTGCCGGCGCCGCTTGAAACCATAGTGAGAGAAAGAGAGAGTGAAAAGCGAACTTTATACTTTATCGGCACGTCGAGAGGAGCGCGCTGTCCTCACCTGAAGAGCATTATCTTACACCGTAGCCTAGAGTCACTAGTCGAGCCATTGTCCCAAAAGAGATGCGCGAGGCCGTTGGCTCTGCCGTGCAGTTGGCAGAGTGACCACAATCATGGCACCACTCCAGCTCTATTTCACGGCGCTGGCTGCAACCACGGCCGTCTGTGAATCCAGCGCCATGTCGGCCGTTATATTGGGATTAACGTATTGACGGCCATCTTCAATACGTCATTTTGGCATGCATGCGCGTTATAAATTCAACTTTCGTCCTGGTCGGTGCCTCGATTATTCAGTCCCCGCCACTGGTATACATGCGCGTGAAGACAACTTTAGCAGGCTAGAGCCTCATATATTCGCGGCGAGAAGTTTAGGTATCACGGTCTGGGGGAATTTCTCCACAATCCAGAGTGAGGATACTTCAACTTCCACTGATTGTGCAAGCACGTGCAATGCCAAGCTTCTATGCACTATGAATATTAAAGCATAACCACGTGGGTAGCACGTAGTGATAACAACAGAAGCGCCGCTTGCGAGCTTCTCACCGCGAATAAGCTTCGCTACGCGCTTCGCTACGCTTGTCAAAAGGAGGCACGCGCCAAGGAGCTGGCAAAAAGTCTTGTGGTTTGTGTGTGGTGGCGCTAGTGATGAGGCTATGCCTGGGCCGCTAAACTCGCCAAACACGAAGTTGGGGCCGAAGTTCGCATAGTGTGCTGATTGGACTCTCGCGACGACGGCGTCACGCGGGACGAGATGTCAATCATCCAAACTCTCTCGGTGCTCCAATTCCAGCGACATTGTGAAACAAAAAGTCGTAGTGAGCATCATCGGACCGCGCGCGAGCAACACCGTGGGGCACCGTGCCGTGGGGCCAGCCGATTGAATGGCTTCACGGCTGCACTGATGGCGTCGCGCCCACGTGTCCCTACATCCTTGCACTGCGTAGAGTCAATGCTGTATAGACTGCCCCTAGGCGGGCTGTGAACACTCTGAACTTTCTCGTCGCAAGATCGTCGCTCCTGGAAGTTATTGGCGATGACAAAGTGATGTTTCACAACCCTGGGAAAAAATTATTTGAGGCCAGAATCTTCGCTTCGTATTGAGGCGAAGATTGAACTTTGTGATATTGTGGAGCCGTGCGCGGTGTACGCGGTTTTAGAGCCCATCTTCCGCCACTGTAAACAACGCTTACGGGGTCGCCTAGAGGCGGTGTGTGTAGTGCACGTCTGTTGTGTTCGAAAGATGTGGGGGCGACGGGGGCTGGAGCGATCCCCCCCTTCACTCTTTATGCCTCTTGCTCATCCTTTCGACGCCACCGTTCCAATTCTACAATTTCACGTGTTATCGTAGCCTGCAGAAGCTGAACGCCCTGATTACTTAGGCGATATGTGTTTCGCTACGCCTTTGATAGCGCTATTTAAAAGGAACTTGCCTTCCTGAGAGCGAGATTACGCCCTGCTCTACTCTGCACATGCTCTGTGATATATGGTGTTTTTGTGCTGCGTTTTGAGACGAGCGTTGACTACAAATACCGGAACACGTTTCAGTAAAAAATCCGTTGGAAATTGCGCCTCGTTTGTGCCCTGTCCTCCCTTCGTCCTCGTGTTTGCTGCGCACGGGCACGTTATATGCCATGTCACACTTTCAAGCGAGGCTCGTGCTAGTAATCGTAGTGAGCAGGCGCCTTCAGTGACGTCCTTTTATATAGTTCCTATCCTTGACGTCAGGGTCAGGATTATCAATTGTGAACTAGAGTGCTGGATATCCTGACTTATCCAAGTACCGTCTTCGTTTGATCGTGTCGCGGGCGCTCGTATTGGATGCCGGCGACACGTCGCCATTTCTGGCTCATGACGCATCCCGCATCCACACGCGGACGTTCCCATTGGTCTGCTGTGGCTGCCGGTGACGCGCCGCCGTTTGCGAGCACGCTCCCATTGGTCTAGGCGTTGATAAATCATACGAGCCTATAGACGATTGCAAGCTGGGCGACTGGCCGCCGCCATGTCTCTGCTCGAGCAGGCACGCCCGTGCGATTACGAGCTTGCGAAAGCTACGTTCACCCGCGCGTTGCACGCGCTTGCACGCATGGGGCACCACTTGTGGCGCCATGCTTGCAATTGTCGATAGGCTCGTTAGATTTACTCGCACCTCCTGCACCGGTGCAGAAAGGTGTACGGCAGTGTACCTCCGGTTTGTGCATTGAGATACGACCGGAAGTACGCCAGCCTACACTCTTCTGCACCGGTGCAGGAGGTTCAGGTAACTCCAACGAGCTATATATAGACGCTTTCAGCGCGCGCCAGATTGAGCCGCCATTGCCGACCTTCTCTTGTCTTACCTAGTCTTACCGAGATGCCGAGCCACTGAAGCGGGCGTTGACGAGCCTCCACAAGGGCTTATGCTGGGGAGAAGGACACAGTAACATTTAAAATGGTAATAACCGGTCCTACTGTGGTAATGAGGAAGTGGTTTGAACGGAATAATAGGGAACAAAAACTGAAGGTCAGTTATGGCGGCGCCCATGCACAGCTGCCTGAAAGTGTCTATAGATGCCGGCGCCGCACCGCCGCGACAATCTAGATTGGCGGCGACGCTCCGCCATTTCTGGCTCAAGTGTGTCCCAATATGCACCAGCTTGGTTGTACTTGTTTATAAAATTTAAAAAAATCATCCAGTGCTTTATTGTGAACGACAAAATCGATGGTGCGCGTTCGAATCGACGGTGACAACTTTGATCGTGTACGAACTTCGAGTCATCGCGTTCTTAAAACATCACCGTCAATTTGACAACCTGACATTACTCTTATTTCCGTTGATAAAAGCAGAATTAATCCCAGTTTGGATAATCTTGGCGAGCCTACCACACCGACGTTTTCTGTAGCCTACGTCGACAAAAATAACTATTCAGAAAAAAAAAAAAAAGCAGTAAAATCACTTGATTTTGCCGTTAGAGAGAACACTGCTCGGAACTAAAATCCGCCCGAAAACGAACAACGCCACTTGGCTGGTTCTGACCTAGCCACGTCGGGCTACACTTTGATAAGGTCGAGAGAGATGTAAGGATCGGCAAGGACGTTTTTCAGTAAATTCTGCTTAATGGTCGGAAATAGGAACTATATCAGACTGCCAACTTAGATGGTGTTGATTTTAGAATGCAATTTCCCGAAGTCTTCGCCGTGCTTTTTAGAGACCATCAAACATGTTGGTCGCAGCTGATAATCTTTGTCGTGATATCACACGTATAAACTAAAGTCACTGGATCCGAGGAAAGTAGCGCCAAGCTCCCCTTATGGTCGCCATCTTGGTCCGTGAAATGAGCAATTTCTCCTCGACCCTCCTCTCCCCCCCCCCCCCCCCCCCCCCCCGTTCTTGGTGAGATGATCTAAATTTGTAGGTGACGGGGGGTAGCCTGATATAGACGTTTCTTGTATACCGAGGATTTGCTATTCACACACCGGCGAAACAAGCGTACATCTTCGTACAACCATGCACGTGCTGTGTCGGTGCTTGGAGGCACTGAAAAATAATTTTACGGTTTTGAAATACGCAGGACAAACAATGTAATTGTAGGAAATCCTTGGAGATGGGCATGATTGAAAAGTTGATTGCATACACAGTGCCAAAGACGCTTATATTGGCGAGGAACGCTTCCAGTACGATGACGCTCCATGGTGATCTTGACGCGACTGGTTTAGAAAGACCCTCTGGAAGCTTCGAAGATCTGAATGGACCAATATGGCGATTCCCATGGCAACGTAGACAGATTAGCCGAACGCCTTGCGAGGGTTCGGTCGTCTGTATGTTAGTATCAGTTTGTGTCCAGCTAGCAGGCAGGGAAGGCAATGGCGCTACTCTCCCAGGATCCAATGACCTTAGTATAAACCACGGTTGGCTCTGCGTGCTCTCTCGTGCTCCTCTTGTTCGGCGCCTAGGGAGTGGTAGTGATTTTTCACACCTTCAATGAAAAACATCACGAAGATAGCAGATCTGTGGGGTTGTGAGAAAAAAAAAATTCGCGGCTCCTCCCCCCCCCCACTATGTCATAACACAAAGAATCTTTGTGTTTGACGAGTTTAGCGACCTTGC